ATATATATATATATATATATATATATAAAATTTATTTTTACTTATTTATTTTATATATAAATATAATATAAATACATATACATTATATATAAATGTATTTATAGAAATGAATAATAAAAATGAACCAGTAAGTGTGTAATAAATTCTCTTCTTTCTGCTGCAATTAATTTTCAACCGTGAATCAATTCTTTTTGTTTACTATTTATCACTGTAAACCCCACAGCTATCATTGCACTTGAGAGCATGAAGTACACCCCATGGATTCATGGCCTGGCTAACACAGCAAGTTGAAGGAATCCACTGCCTCACAGAGATTGGCTTGCAGCGGTGATTATGTAACATTAAGACGGTCTTAAACTGTTAAATTGCTGTTTTAAGAAATAAATATTTCAAGGGACAGGGTTCTTTGGAAGGCTAGGATTTGTCCCAATGGGTAATTGAAGATACTTGTGCAGCTAATTCGCCATGGCACTTTCTCTCTGAGGTGAATTTGTGTTGACAGACGGCCCAATTATCCAGTGTCAGAGCCAAACGCCATTAAAGCTAGGCCTTGCTCAATCGCATTTCTTCTGGAGATAGTTACCGCTGATCTTGCTGCAGCCTGACTGATGCTTAAATGGGTGTTTGCCCAACCCTAGGAGAAGCTAAGGCTGAGCAGAGAGCACTGAGGTCTTCTTTGGTTGAGCTATTGCTCAGTGCACAATTGATTTGCACTCATTTGCATGAGTTGTCTGAACTTTGTGTTTGTGCATTGCATACATTTTCGTTCTTTCTTGGCACACAAAAGGTGAATTTTTGAAAAATATCCTGGCTACTCTGCACTTCAGTGACAGCAAATGAGGAATAGGACTTTCAAGCTGCAAAATGAGAGAAAAAGTAATAAAAGAACCATAAAAGGGGTCCATATGACTCATTCCAAGTCTTCTAAAGCATACATAAGCCTTGTGTGAGGAATGCACTGAATTTTTTGTTTTTCATTAACAAATCTTCTGACGTACATATTTTCAGTTACCAGGTTAACCCCATTCACATAACCTGTTTGAATGATTCACTCACAAGTTCAGTTTACTGACTGAGTCTGCCCTGATCCAGTGATCCAGTCTGGAAAATTTGGTCTGATTATCACATTAAGTGGAAGGCTATAGTTTGATACTTTTGTGTGCTTTTGCATTCTTTTGTGCCATTTTTGAAGCTTGAAAGCCTCACTATTTTAAGAAGTAATTCTTATTTTATCCTTTGTACAGGCCTACCAGTCTAGACCTGCACAACTACTACCACACAGAAAACGATGATGAAAACCCATTTATCTGTTCTCAACCACGGGAGAATGGCGTGCGTCTGTGCACCTCCATCCCTACGCTCCACGAAGAGGGCCGGCAGTGCCAGCTGGACATGGCATCTTACAATAGCACAGACAACACCACCTGCGTCAACTGGAACAAGTATTACACCAACTGCTCTGCCGGAGAGGCCAATCCCTTCAAAGGGGCCATAAACTTTGACAACATTGGTTATGCCTGGATTGCCATCTTTCAGGTCAGTTGTATGTCTTCTTTTATTGCTGATTCTGTGAAGACTTATACCAAGACCTATAAAAATACTTACAATGCCTTAGAATGACAGTTTACATTCCTACGTGTTATATAACAACGGTATATATATATATATATATATTATGCATGCTCATTTCTCATATTTTTACATTTATATTACCACTTTCATCATCTAACGCTTAATCTTTAAAAATGCTAATAATTTAATAACACTACTCTAAAAAATTATGCGGTTTTACATACTGTACATTGAAATGTTGTGATGCCTAAATTCACTTGTAGCATTTAAATGTTATTTATTTATTTAATTGATTGATTTATTTACAAAATAGAAAAATTATTTTAATATTGGCCATAAGATGATGTTAATTTATGTATATATATAAAAAATAGGTTATCCCTACTAGGTGCATCCGTGCATTTTACTGTAAAGATATGACTTTACACCAAAATTCTGATGAAACTGATCCAAACTAATACTAAAATTACTATCATGAACCCAAATGTGCTTACCTCAGTTTCCCTGCCCATTCAGTGATATCTTAAATACTTGACAATGTGTTTAAATAACAAAGCCCATTTGTCCTGGGATTTTGGATTAGCCTTTTTAGAGTCTGGCATGCATGGAGACAATTGCAGGGATCAGCGGGCTCTATTAATTCCTATTCTGTGTTCTTTTATCACAAAAAGGGTGATAAGGTTTTAATTCTTCTGTGTCTGACAATATTGGCCTAATGGTTTTGATCTCAAATTGAATTAAACTTGAACTTTTCATATGCTTACAACACACCAAAATGCATTTCTATTACATATTTAGGAGACTGTTATGTACTGAACTGCAGAATGGCACGATGACTTAATCCTTTTGTAACCGATCAATTCTGTGGCTAGGCGCTTAATTTTTAGTGTCTAAAAATGAATTAGCTGTCTGACAGCCCTTCATCCTGCTGGCACACCCAATTGCCCTGTAAATAGCAAGCAAAATGTCTTTCCTTTCCGGTTTTGCCTTTCTCCATTTCTCCCTAATCTGTGACAGATTAATCAAAGGGATTGAAGAGTGCATGCTGGGTAGGGTGTCGTCCTTGAGCACACGATATCTGTACTGTCTACCTCATCATGCATGCTTGAGTACAGAACCAAAAACTGATCATAGAAGCATATAATCAAAGATTACTTATGCTTTTAGTTTACATGTCTGTCACTGTATTGAAATTAGTACCGGTATGTTTTTTTCAAGCTTTGTATTGATGTCGTTATCTAGGATGCAAGAGTTTCCTAAAATAGTTTTATATAAAAATAATGCCTTATATAAACTGTCTCTTATGTGAATAAGAGAAATAAGCTGCACTGAATCCCTCTCCTTTTGTTCTTTCCTGTAGGTTATTACTCTGGAGGGCTGGGTGGACATCATGTACTTTGTTATGGATGCTCACTCCTTCTACAATTTCATCTACTTCATCCTCCTGATAATAGTGAGTGGCTTTGGGCTGAGCTGGGCAGACCTGGACACGTTTATGAGAGCATTACCTGAACCGTCACCGACCAGACAGACTACCTTATACTGGCTCTGATGTGTCAGACAGGCTTAGACAGCTCACAAGACAAAGACAAGAGAATCATATTTTAAATATTTTTGAAATGACCATGTTTTTTAAAAAACAGTTGCAATGTCAATAACAATAACATACTCATGATCATGTTTTGTTTAGCCTAGGAAATGGATTATTGTCAAGATGTTTTAAATATGTCCAGGAAATGCATTTAGGGGTATTTAAAGGGATAGTTCAGCCAAAAATCTAAATTCTGTCATAATTTTCTGTCATAGTTGACAGATGTAAACTTCATTGTCACACAGATTCATATATAATGTTGGATATACAGTATATCATATCCATATTTATCCGTATATGTACATTATACTCATGTGAAGTGATATATACTTTATAGCAAATCTCAACTGCTTGACTTTTATTTTCGTTGCAGAATATAACTATATTATCACCCAGCTCTTTATATAAAGTTGTATAAGCATGTGTATTTACAGCATGTCTCAAAGGCTTGATTGCTTATATCGTCGAAAATGTAAGCTACTGTATATTATTATACCCAGCTCTAATCTGCTAAATTTGACTATAAATCATGAAGATATTAAAATATTATAAACATCGACATCATGACTTTCTGTAAAGCTGCTTCGAAACAATGTCTATTGTGAAAATCACTATACAAGTAAATTTGACTTAAAGGGTTAGTTGACTCAAAAATGAAAATTAGCCCATGAAGTACTCACCCTCAAGGCATCCTAGGTGTATATGACTTTCTTCTTTCAGACTAATCCAATTGGAGTTATATAAAAAATTGTCTTTGATTTTCCAAGCGGTTTAATGGCACTCAGCGGGTGTTGCAGTGCTTCAGTCCGAAAGAAGTTAAATAAAGCGCATCCATTCATAATATAAAGTATCTCACATGACTCTGGGGGGTGAACAAAGACCTCCTGTAGTGAATCGATGCGTTTTTGTAAGAAAAATATCCATATCCAAAACGTAATAATCACTTTAATCTAGCTTGCGCCAACAGTTGTACACTGGAAGCAGTTCCGGGCAGATGACGCATGAGGTCGGCGTTGCGCATAAGCGCCGCTCAGAAGGGACAAATGCGGAAGCGCAGAGGAGAGATCAAAACAATGGTCACGAATTAGAAGTACAAATCGAGGGTTTGTAAAGAAGAATGTTAGAGGATTTCGATATAAGCCAAGAGGAGACTGGTTTTCCTTTGCTAAAGTAAGGAAATTTTGCTTAATTTGCTCCTGTTAACAAACGTTGGTTGCGCAACGCCGACATCTTATGTCATCCTCCCGGAGCTGCTTTCTTGTACAACTGTTGGCGCAAATTAGATTAAAGGGGGTCCCATTATGCTCTTTTACAAAGTCTTGATTTTGTTTTGGGGTGTACTAGAACAGGCTCGCATACTAGGTTGTTCGAAAAACTCATGTTTCAAATATTTTACATTATTACCACACCTCTCTCCCCAGTCTGGCATGAACGGCTCGAATAGTTCCTGTATCAAATGAAGGCCTGCCTTCTGAAATACGAAATGTGCTGTGATTGGTTAGCTGGGCCAGTGTGTGTTGTGATTGGCACTACTCGGCGCCTGGTCGGAAATGTCACGCACCTTACCATAGCCGCCTGCGAGCTTCAGTGTAAATCAAAATCAAATCAATTTGAGCACGATTTAAACCCGGATGATTGTAACCACTCTAAGGTCGTCTGCCTTGGGAAAGCTAGCGTGTCTCCGACATAGTGATAACACTCGTTGCCTTCTCTAGTGCAGCTTAACCAGGTCTTGTCCCATTCGTCGATATTTGTGATATCACACATCCCGGAAAATATGCATTGTAGTCCAAACGAGTCGTTTTTGAAAAGTGATTTCTGTTAAATAAAATCAATCTTTTTGAAGTGGACTTTGAGCTTTGTAACTTTGCAGAATTTTTTTATGCTCAAACAGCAAGATTACAGACTAACTAAAGTTGAAAAAGCATAATAGGACCCCTTTAAAGTGATTATTACGTTTTAAATATAGATATTTTTCTTACAAAAACGCATCGATTCGCTACAGGAGGCCTTTGTTCACCCCCGGAGCCGTGTGAGACACTTTTTATTATGAATGGATGCACTTTATTTCACTTCTTTTGGACTGATGCACTGCAATACATGACTGCCATTAAACAGCTTGGAAGATCAAAGACAATTTTTAATATAACTCCGATTGGATTCGTCTGAAAGAAGAAAGTCATATACATCTAGGATGCCTTGAGGGTGAGTAATTCATGGGCTAATTTAAATTTTTGGGTGAACTAACCCTTTAAGTTGACTTGATTTACTCAATGTCATGTCTTTCGAAACCTGTATGACTTTCTTCTGTGGAACACACAAGAAGATATTTTGAAGAATATTGTTAATAAAAAACTGTTCGACTTTCATTGTATGTACAAAAAAAAAAAAACATTTCTCAAAATATTTTCTTTTGTGTTACACAGAAGAAAGTTAAGTCATACAGGTTTGGAATGATGTGATGGTGAGTAAATAATGACCGAACTTTCCCTTTAAATGTGGCATTGTTCTGAACTTCCAATCTGTTAATTTCAAATCCTATTAGTACAGAAAATAACCATCGATTGTATGCTTGCTATTTTTATCATGCCATCTTTTCTTGTTGTTACAGTAACAATGTTGTTAATGAGCAGTGAAGCTCTCTCTGTTCATGGTCTACTCCACTCCCTCCACTGTTTTTCAGGTGGGCTCATTCTTCATGATCAACCTTTGCCTAGTTGTCATAGCGACACAGTTCTCTGAGACCAAGCAACGGGAGAGTCAGCTTATGAAGGAGCAGATTGAAATGTTGTGATGCCTAAATTCACTTGTAGCATTTAAATTTTATTTATTTATTTAATTGATTGATTTATTTACAAAATAGAAAAATTATTTTAATATTGGCCATAAGATGATGTTAATTTATGTATAAATATAAAAAATAGGTTATCCCTACTAGGTGCATCCGTGCATTTTACTGTAAAGATATGACTTTACACCAAAATTCTGATGAAACTGATCCAAACTAATACTAAAATTACTATCATGAACCCAAATGTGCTTACCTCAGTTTCCCTGCCCATTCAGTGATATCTTAAATACTTGACAATGTGTTTAAATAACAAAGCCCATTTGTCCTGGGATTTTGGATTAGCCTTTTTAGAGTCTGGCATGCATGGAGACAATTGCAGGGATCAGCGGGCTCTATTAATTCCTATTCTGTGTTCTTTTATCACAAAAAGGGTGATAAGGTTTTAATTCTTCTGTGTCTGACAATATTGGCCTAATGGTTTTGATCTCAAATTGAATTAAACTTGAACTTTTCATATGCTTACAACACACCAAAATGCATTTCTATTACATATTTAGGAGACTGTTATGTACTGAACTGCAGAATGGCACGATGACTTAATCCTTTTGTAACCGATCAATTCTGTGGCTAGGCGCTTAATTTTTAGTGTCTAAAAATGAATTAGCTGTCTGACAGCCCTTCATCCTGCTGGCACACCCAATTGCCCTGTAAATAGCAAGCAAAATGTCTTTCCTTTCCGGTTTTGCCTTTCTCCATTTCTCCCTAATCTGTGACAGATTAATCAAAGGGATTGAAGAGTGCATGCTGGGTAGGGTGTCGTCCTTGAGCACACGATATCTGTACTGTCTACCTCATCATGCATGCTTGAGTACAGAACCAAAAACTGATCATAGAAGCATATAATCAAAGATTACTTATGCTTTTAGTTTACATGTCTGTCACTGTATTGAAATTAGTACCGGTATGTTTTTTTCAAGCTTTGTATTGATGTCGTTATCTAGAATGCAAGAGTTTCCTAAAATAGTTTTATATAAAAATAATGCCTTATATAAACTGTCTCTTATGTGAATAAGAGAAATAAGCTGCACTGAATCCCTCTCCTTTTGTTCTTTCCTGTAGGTTATTACTCTGGAGGGCTGGGTGGACATCATGTACTTTGTTATGGATGCTCACTCCTTCTACAATTTCATCTACTTCATCCTCCTGATAATAGTGAGTGGCTTTGGGCTGAGCTGGGCAGACCTGGACACGTTTATGAGAGCATTACCTGAACCGTCACCGACCAGACAGACTACCTTATACTGGCTCTGATGTGTCAGACAGGCTTAGACAGCTCACAAGACAAAGACAAGAGAATCATATTTTAAATATTTTTGAAATGACCATGTTTTTTAAAAAACAGTTGCAATGTCAATAACATACTGTGAATCATGTTTTGTTTAGCCTAGGAAATGGATTATTGTCAAGATGTTTTAAATATGTCCAGGAAATGCATTTAGGGGTATTTAAAGGGATAGTTCAGCCAAAAATCTAAATTCTGTCATAATTTTCTGTCATAGTTGACAGATGTAAACTTCATTGTCACACAGATTCATATATAATGTTGGATATACAGTATATCATATCCATATTTATCCGTATATGTACATTATACTCATGTGAAGTGATATATACTTTATAGCAAATCTCAACTGCTTGACTTTTATTTTCGTTGCAGAATATAACTATATTATCACCCAGCTCTTTATATAAAGTTGTATAAGCATGTGTATTTACAGCATGTCTCAAAGGCTTGATTGCTTATATCGTCGAAAATGTAAGCTACTGTATATTATTATACCCAGCTCTAATCTGCTAAATTTGACTATAAATCATGAAGATATTAAAATATTATAAACATCGACATCATGACTTTCTGTAAAGCTGCTTCGAAACAATGTCTATTGTGAAAATCACTATACAAGTAAATTTGACTTAAAGGGTTAGTTGACTCAAAAATGAAAATTAGCCCATGAAGTACTCACCCTCAAGGCATCCTAGGTGTATATGACTTTCTTCTTTCAGACTAATCCAATTGGAGTTATATAAAAAATTGTCTTTGATTTTCCAAGCGGTTTAATGGCACTCAGCGGGTGTTGCAGTGCTTCAGTCCGAAAGAAGTTAAATAAAGCGCATCCATTCATAATATAAAGTATCTCACATGACTCTGGGGGGTGAACAAAGACCTCCTGTAGTGAATCGATGCGTTTTTGTAAGAAAAATATCCATATCCAAAACGTAATAATCACTTTAATCTAGCTTGCGCCAACAGTTGTACACTGGAAGCAGTTCCGGGCAGATGACGCATGAGGTCGGCGTTGCGCATGCGCCGCTCAGAAGGGACAAATGCGGAAGCGCAGAGGAGAGATCAAAACAATGGTCACGAATTAGAAGTACAAATCGAGGGTTTGTAAAGAAGAATGTTAGAGGATTTCGATATAAGCCAAGAGGAGACTGGTTTTCCTTTGCTAAAGTAAGGAAATTTTGCTTAATTTGCTCCTGTTAACAAACGTTGGTTGCGCAACGCCGACATCTTATGTCATCCTCCCGGAGCTGCTTTCTTGTACAACTGTTGGCGCAAATTAGATTAAAGGGGGTCCCATTATGCTCTTTTACAAAGTCTTGATTTTGTTTTGGGGTGTACTAGAACAGGCTCGCATACTAGGTTGTTCGAAAAACTCATGTTTCAAATATTTTACATTATTACCACACCTCTCTCCCCAGTCTGGCATGAACGGCTCGAATAGTTCCTGTATCAAATGAAGGCCTGCCTTCTGAAATACGAAATGTGCTGTGATTGGTTAGCTGGGCCAGTGTGTGACCCAAAAATGAAAATTAGGCTGTGTTTTACTCACCCCAGAGCCATCCTAGGTGTATATGACTTTCTTCTTTCAGACGAATCCAATCGGAGTTATATTAAAAATTGTCTTTGATCTTTCAAGATGTTTAATGCCACTCAGCGGGTGTTGCATGCATCAGTCCAAAAAGAAGTTAAATAAAAAGCGCCCATCCATTTTTAAAAAAGTGTCTCACACGGCTCCGGGGGGTGAACAAAGACCTCCTGTAGTGAATCGATGCGTTTTTGTAAGAAAAATATCCATATCCAAAACGTAATAATCACTTTAATCTAGCTTGCGCCAACAGTTGTACACTGGAAGCAGTTCCGGGCAGATGACGCATGAGGTCGGCGTTGCGCATGCGCCGCTCAGAAGGGACAAATGCGGAAGCGCAGAGGAGAGATCAAAACAATGGTCACGAATTAGAAGTACAAATCGAGGGTTTGTAAAGAAGAATGTTAGAGGATTTCGATATAAGCCAAGAGGAGACTGGTTTTCCTTTGCTAAAGTAAGGAAATTTTGCTTAATTTGCTCCTGTTAACAAACGTTGGTTGCGCAACGCCGACATCTTATGTCATCCTCCCGGAGCTGCTTTCTTGTACAACTGTTGGCGCAAATTAGATTAAAGGGGGTCCCATTATGCTCTTTTACAAAGTCTTGATTTTGTTTTGGGGTGTACTAGAACAGGCTCGCATACTAGGTTGTTCGAAAAACACATTTTTCAAATATTTTACATTATTACAACACCTCTCTCCCCAGTCTGGCATGAACGGCTCGAATAGTTCCTGTATCAAATGAAGGCCTGCCTTCTGAAATACGAAATGTGCTGTGATTGGTTAGCTGGGCCAGTGTGTGTTGTGATTGGCACTACTCGGCGCCTGGTCGGAAATGTCACGCACCTTACCATAGCCGCCTGCGGGTGTTGCATGCATCAGTCCAAAAGAAGTTAAATAAAACTTAACGCCAACAGTTGTACACGGAAGCAGTTCCGGGCGGATGACGTATGGAGGTCGGCTTTACGCATGCGCCGCTCAAAAGTGACGAACGCGGAAGCGCAGGGGAGAGATCAAAACAAAACAACGGTCACTTATTAGAAGTACAAAGTGAGGATTTGTAAAGAAGAATGTTAGAGGATTTCGATATAAGCCAAGAGGAGACTGGTTTTCCTTTGCTAAAGTAAGGAAATTTTGCTTAATTTGCTCCTGTTAACAAACGTTGGTTGCGCAACGCCGACATCTTATGTCATCCTCCCGGAGCTGCTTTCTTGTACAACTGTTGGCGCAAATTAGATTAAAGGGGGTCCCATTATGCTCTTTTACAAAGTCTTGATTTTGTTTTGGGGTGTACTAGAACAGGCTCGCATACTAGGTTGTTCGAAAAACACATTTTTCAAATATTTTACATTATTACAACACCTCTCTCCCCAGTCTGGCATGAACGGCTCGAATAGTTCCTGTATCAAATGAAGGCCTGCCTTCTGAAATACGAAATGTGCTGTGATTGGTTAGCTGGGCCAGTGTGTGTTGTGATTGGCACTACTCGGCGCCTGGTCGGAAATGTCACGCACCTTACCATAGCCGCCTGCGAGCTTCAGTGTAAATCAAAATCAAATCAATTTGAGCACGATTTAAACCCGGATGATTGTAACCACTCTAAGGTCGTCTGCCTTGGGAAAGCTAGCGTGTCTCCGACATAGTGATAACACTCGTTGCCTTCTCTAGTGCAGCTTAACCATTTCTTGTCCCATTCGTCGATATTTGTGATATCACACATCCCGGAAAATATGCATTGTAGTCCAAACGAGTCGTTTTTGAAAAGTGATTTCTGTTAAATAAAATCAATCTTTTTGAAGTGGACTTTGAGCTTTGTAACTTTGCAGAATTTTTTTATGCTCAAACAGCAAGATTACAGACTAACTAAAGTTGAAAAAGCATAATAGGACCCCTTTAAAGTGATTATTACGTTTTAAATATAGATATTTTTCTTACAAAAACGCATCGATTCGCTACAGGAGGCCTTTGTTCACCCCCGGAGCCGTGTGAGACACTTTTTATTATGAATGGATGCACTTTATTTCACTTCTTTTGGACTGATGCACTGCAATACATGACTGCCATTAAACAGCTTGGAAGATCAAAGACAATTTTTAATATAACTCCGATTGGATTCGTCTGAAAGAAGAAAGTCATATACATCTAGGATGCCTTGAGGGTGAGTAATTCATGGGCTAATTTAAATTTTTGGGTGAACTAACCCTTTAAGTTGACTTGATTTACTCAATGTCATGTCTTTCGAAACCTGTATGACTTTCTTCTGTGGAACACACAAGAAGATATTTTGAAGAATATTGTTAATAAAAAACTGTTCGACTTTCATTGTATGTACAAAAAAAAAAAAACATTTCTCAAAATATTTTCTTTTGTGTTACACAGAAGAAAGTTAAGTCATACAGGTTTGGAATGATGTGATGGTGAGTAAATAATGACCGAACTTTCCCTTTAAATGTGGCATTGTTCTGAACTTCCAATCTGTTAATTTCAAATCCTATTAGTACAGAAAATAACCATCGATTGTATGCTTGCTATTTTTATCATGCCATCTTTTCTTGTTGTTACAGTAACAATGTTGTTAATGAGCAGTGAAGCTCTCTCTGTTCATGGTCTACTCCACTCCCTCCACTGTTTTTCAGGTGGGCTCATTCTTCATGATCAACCTTTGCCTAGTTGTCATAGCGACACAGTTCTCTGAGACCAAGCAACGGGAGAGTCAGCTTATGAAGGAGCAGAGAGTGCGCTCCAGGTCCAATGCCAGCACCCTAAATAGCTTCTCTGAGCCAGGAAGCTGCTACGACGAGCTCCTCAAGTACCTAGTTCACATCATCCGCAAAGGCACCAGGCAAATCGGCCACCTCATCCGGGCCGCCGGGCGCCGTGCAGGCCTGCGGATCTGTGCTTCTCCGCCACTGGAACCACCGGCCACGAAAAGACGGCATCAGAAGCAGCGCCAGGGATCCATCCGTCCCGTCATGCACCATCATCATCATCTCCACCATCACTACCATCTGGGCAATGGGAGTGTCCGAACCGACGGGGGCAGAGAGGGGGACAACCAGAGTTCCCAAAGTGCCAATGTCAACAACTCTGGGCATCTCATGCTACCTGTCATTGTCCCTCAGCAGGAGCCCTTTTGTGGGTCTCTGGGCCCCAGTGGTGCAGAATCAGTGCATAGTGTTTATCAGACTGCGGGTCACCTTGAGCCTCTGCGCTGCAGCCCCTCACCTTCTCCCATGGTGTTTCAGGCATACAAGAGGAACTCAGTGCCATTTGCGGCTCCAGTACATAAGAACTACCCTACGTTACAGTCATCTCTGGCCTTAGAGCAGCTCAGACAGAGAATCCTGGAGCCAGGAGGAGGCAGTTGCACTGCTAGTGTCCTTACCAACTTAAACATCCCCCCAACTCCCATCAACACCTCACAGTGCCTGGTGGAGACACAAGGTCCTCCTGGTAAATGGATTTTGAATTAGTTACTTGAGCTGAAATTCAAAAATTCATGAAATTCAACAGCTGGATGTGTGAAGCACAAGAGTTGAGAGTAGGGCTGGGCAGTATAAACAAAATTAGTAATTTTATATATTTTTATGTTGTGTTTTGTTCATACCATCACGGTTACACAATGTATTATAGTTGCTTTTGCTAGAAATTCAACCCTGAAATATCGATTCGATAATTTAGATAGAGACTTATATACTAATAAAGTGAAATAATTAGATTTTTTTTCATAATTTAAAAAAAAAAATGTCATAACAAATGAATAAATGTATTACATTCTTAAAATATTAAAATAGATTAAAGCATTTTTTTATTCAAATAATTGAAATTTACTTTAAAAATGGAAAAACTTTTCAACTGAAAAAAAACTTTACAAACACACATTGTTACTTACTCATACTTACTATTACAGTACACCTTACAATTAAAATGGTAGTTTTTAAAAATAAAAATTTTATAGATAGATAAAGAATTATTTTATTATATTTATTTTATTTATACATACTGTGCGAACTGTACACTATAATAAAATAAGTTTTGCTTTTGTAAAATTTCATTTACTTCGACATAGTAGCTTAATATTGGAAAACAAATTTAAAAAAGAGACAGAAATAGACATTTGTCTATGCATCATGTGCTTTTTCTTATACATTTCAGGCAAGATCATCTTTAAGGATGCGCTCATGAATTGCAGTGGCACAAACTTAGACACAACTTTGACCTTTGACCCTGAGACCTGTCCGTATTGCGCCAAAGCGATGGCCAACGACTCTGAGGGAGTGGATGGGAATGAGACGGCAGACTCTGACAGTGAGGGCGTGTATGAGTTCACACAGGATGCCCATTATCGGGACAGCAGAGATCCCAACAGGAAGAAGAGGCTGTTTGCATTAGGAGCTCGGGCAGCAAAGGTGGTCCATTTCTGGAGGCTGGTGTGCGACACATTCCGTAAGATTGTGGATAGCAAGTACTTTGGACGAGGAATAATGATCGCCATTCTCATTAACACACTCAGCATGGGCATCGAGTACCATGAACAGGTTAGTGCACGTCTCTATGCTGTTCTCACTGATTTGATATCTGCAAACACTCATTTATAAGATAAAATTGTTTTTGCCTCAGAGTTAAAAAAGAAAAAGAAAAAAAGGTCATTTTAACTATATCTCAGTTTATTTCCACATACTTGTGTCTTTATATCTCACAATGTGCTTTTATACCTCAAAATTACTGCTCCTTTATTTCTAGTAATTATTATTTTTATATCTCACAATTGCGAAGATTTCTCGTAATTGCAACTTTATATTATTTTCACAATTATGTATTTACTTGTAATTGTGCCTGTACAATTGTGACTTCAGACACTACTGTTCAAAAAGTTTGGGGTCAGTAAGATATATTTTTAAAAGGAATGAATGCTTTTATTAAACAAGGATGCATTTAATTGATCAAAAGCGACAGTAAAGACATTTAAATTAAAATGTTACAAAAGATATTAGATTTTTTTTCATAATTTAAAAAAAAAAATGTCATAACAAATGAATAAATGTATTACATTCTTAAAATATTAAAATAGATTAAAGCATTTTTTTATTCAAATAATTGAAATTTACTTTAAAAATGGAAAAACTTTTCAACTGAAAAAAAACTTTACAAACACACATTGTTACTTACTCATACTTACTATTACAGTACACCTTACAATTAAAATGGTAGTTTTTAAAAATAAAAATTTTATAGATAGATAAAGAATTATTTTATTATATTTATTTTATTTATACATACTGTGCGAACTGTACACTATAATAAAATAAGTTTTGCTTTTGTAAAATTTCATTTACTTCGACATAGTAGCTTAATATTGGAAAACAAATTTAAAAAAGAGACAGAAATAGACATTTGTCTATGCATCATGTGCTTTTTCTTATACATTTCAGGCAAGATCATCTTTAAGGATGCGCTCATGAATTGCAGTGGCACAAACTTAGACACAACTTTGACCTTTGACCCTGAGACCTGTCCGTATTGCGCCAAAGCGATGGCCAACGACTCTGAGGGAGTGGATGGGAATGAGATGGCAGACTCTGACAGTGAGGGCGTGTATGAGTTCACACAGGATGCCCATTATCGGGACAGCAGAGATCCCAACAGGAAGAAGAGGCTGTTTGCATTAGGAGCTCGGGCAGCAAAGGTGGTCCATTTCTGGAGGCTGGTGTGCGACACATTCCGTAAGATTGTGGATAGCAAGTACTTTGGACGAGGAATAATGATCGCCATTCTCATTAACACACTCAGCATGGGCATCGAGTACCATGAACAGGTTAGTGCACGTCTCTATGCTGTTCTCACTGATTTGATATCTGCAAACACTCATTTATAAGATAAAATTGTTTTTGCCTCAGAGTTAAAAAAAGAAAAAGAAAAAAAGGTCATTTTAACTATATCTCAGTTTATTTCCACATAATTGTGTCTTTATATCTCACAATGTGCTTTTATACCTCAAAATTACTGCTCCTTTATTTCTAGTAATTATTATTTTTATATCTCACAATTGCGAAGATTTCTCGTAATTGCAACTTTATATTATTTTCACAATTATGTATTTACTTGTAATTGTGCCTGTACAATTGTGACTTCAGACACTACTGTTCAAAAAGTTTGGGGTCAGTAAGATATATTTTTAAAAGGAATGAATGCTTTTATTAAACAAGGATGCATTTAATTGATCAAAAGCGACAGTAAAGACATTTAAATTAAAATGTTACAAAAGATTTCTATTTTAAGTAAATGCTGTTCTTTTGAACTTTCTAGAAGAATCTAGAAGTATCAACCGTTTTCACAAAAATATGAAGCAGTGTTAATTTAAAGTGTTAACTGTTTTCAACACTGCTAAAAAGAAGTGCTTCTATACAATAGAAATCATCCAAGCCCTTTGCAGCAGTGTTAAGGAATGAAAGACTTTCCATATGCACCATGCTTTTGTTGTTTACCAATGTGTGGTAATTCGCCATACTAGAGAATGAGCACGAGTGTGAAGGCTGAACTGAACAGAGAGGGCAACTGGCACACATCTGAAATTCATTGCACTGTGTTTACACAGTGTGCTCACATGCTTCACAGTCTTCCAGATCCTTTGGAGGGCACACACCGCAATTCATGCCCGCCTGCAACGACCCCCCTTGCTCGTGATTGAAGTCGTAACTTAGGGCTTTGAGGTGTACAACTAGGAAAATTATCAGTATTTTATGACACATTGCAACTTTGAAGGCTGGTGAATTCCTTGGAGTGAGAGTTTGAGTTTTGTATTTTTCTCAGAAAATGGTTGATTCTCAGACAAGAAAACAACATTCATCATCACTTACTCTGATTAGAATGATTTATTCTGGTGATTTGAGAGTAAATGTAAATGGGAACATCTGCTGGCAACCAGGAGCGAATATGTGGGCAATGTAAGAATTTTGGTCCTCGGCCTTGTGAACTCAAGCGGCCAAAAAGTGAAGGTTTTATTAAACACAGAGATTGTACGATTTTTTAAAAAATATTATTGAAAGTCTCTCATCAAGGCTGCCTTTGTTTGATCAATAAAAACAGTAATATCGTGAAATATTACAACTTAATATAACTGTTTTTATTGTAATATATTTTATATTTTCAGCAGCCATTACTCCAGTCTGTGATTTTGTGATTTTTCAGAAATCATTCTAATATGCTGATTTGGTGCTGAAGAAACATGTCGTGTTTTTATTGATGTTAAAAACTGCTTAAACGGGTCATGAACTGCCTTTTTATTATTTTGTACTGTTCTCTGTGGTCCGCTTATAGTGTTATCAAGATTTTTACAATACAAAACTTAATTTAGAATTTAGACTTTTGAATGGTGATGTATATTTGGAGGTGTAAGTTTGGTGGACCTGTAACAAAAGAAATATGCAAACATACGTACACGGATGGCATTCCCCTCCCCCTCAGGACTTCAGCTTCTTTTGTCTCTCCTCTTTTTCTTCCCTGTAAACTCCTGGGGAATTTTGGCAGTGAGCATTGTCTTTATGAAGCGGTCCATCTGGAGAATTGGAGACTGAGATAGAGCAAGAATTTGGATGCACAAGGTCACTTGGGTTTTTTGATCCTTATAAAACATCCAATCTGGCTAATTGCATCTGTTCCTGTTTCACATTCCTGAAGCTTCTATTGCCCTTTGTCTTTCATAATTGTCTGAGCTCCTCTCTCCCAGTCACTGACATCCTGCATCACTTTTTAAACCCACTGTGGAGTGAAGAAGCAGCTCTCGACTGCAACAATTCCAGCTTTGTTTATCGTTCCTGGGCTTGAAATGTTGCTAGTAGGGTTCAAAACATTATTTGATGTTGTGTTGTCCAGTTTTGGTATTCCATTGTGCGCCACAGATGGGAAAAATCACACATTGCTGGATGAAGTTAAGATCAAGTGGAGTTTCACAGAGTGTAGCCAAAGGGGACTGAGTAAAACAGGCAGAAGAGGATGCACTACGTTGATCTGAGCAGTGTTCTGTGCGGCCTCCTTCCAGACTCTGCTCTGTGTTTCTTGGAGAGGAGACATGTTGATCGCTTGATCTTATGCATGAAAACCTTACAAAACCTGACCACATGGCTGCTATTTACAGAGCTGAAGCGTGTGTTTTTTATTTAGGAGGTTAAATATAAATCCACAGGCACATCTCCATCTCTCATTCCATCAGTTATCACGTTCTACTTGCTCCACGGACCACTTCTCAATCTGATTAGATTACATTTAATTCTGTTAGCTAATATAGATGTTATTTTTCATTTCATGCACAGTATGTCATTGTATTTTTTCCTCATTACTTTGCGGAAACAATCATCTCGGTAAAACAATTACATATGTTTTTGTCATCATTTAAATCTCTGAAGTTCAGCGACCTGTCTAAATGTCTCTTAAAATCACTGTTAGTTTTCATAGGAAAATAGTTGCGTGCTTGGGGATGTTGTGTTTTGTTTTCAGGCATTTAAGACTCTGTTCATTAAACCCAGCTAGCCGTGATGTTTCAAGAATGTGTTATGCGTGCTGGGTCTCTTGCCCAGTCTCATTTTTACAATCGAAAAAACTGAAGAGAAATATGAACCGGCCCATATGTCTCTCCTTTAATTCACCCGTGCCTCATAAAAAAACAAAAACAAAAAAAAACTCTCTTTCTGCATACCGAACTATCAACAACATCAATTACACCAGGGAATCTGCGGTTCTTTCTTTGTAGTTCACCTGTATCTGAGTTTTAAGTTCAGCTTGAAGTCGTTCGAGACAATACACTTTAATTAAACAAAAGAACAGTGAGAAACTTGGTGTTTGTGATGTCGAAAAGTGAATCCCCACGTTAGTTTAACTAGCACAGTCTGCACCGCGAGCTATTAGGAAATATGAGGCCATGTGTTCTGTTTAATTAAATGAGAACGAAATATGACCTGGGCCCTTTGGAGTTGAGCAGATTCGTAGATTTTTAGATCATATTTTTCTTATGTAACTTCTCAACTGAGATGGTTTGCGAGTCTGTGAATCAAATAATCATGCTGGCCAAGGAGATTGACACTTCTGTAGTTCTGTAGTCTGTAGCTGCTTTCAATGATCTATACAGATACATGCATTGAGACAAAATCTATTTTCTTTCATTTTAAAGTCTTTGATCTGAGTGTGTTCCCCCCTTGCTTTATTTTAATTAGTAATTATTATTATTATTGGTATTATTAACATTTCAGTTTTAACGAAAAAATATATCCTCATGTACATGTGTCCTTTACAACAGTACTGCCATGGCACAATGCCATTTATGTGATAGTCTTGATTTTATCTTCTAATTCTCGCTCTTTCTTTTTCAGCCTGATGAGTTGACAAATGCTCTGGAAATCAGTAATATCGTCTTCACCAGTTTGTTCGCACTGGAGATGCTCCTGAAACTGCTGGTTTATGGTCCTTTTGGCTACATCAAGAACCCTTACAACATCTTTGATGGTGTTATTGTGGTAATCAGGTACACATGCTCTTCTGCATTATTTCTTTAGTACTTCTAAACATTAATAACGTGGCCTGTGTCACTGTTTATTGACGTTCATCTTAATTTCTGAAAATGCACACTGGCAGTGTGTTATATCACAACAGTGACAGCCAGACAGAATGCAGCCATTACTGAGTGATGGGACATCTGTTGCCTGTTCAGTCTGATGACTGTCAGCTGTCATGATGAGTGCTGCAATTTCACGCCCATCCATTCTCAATTGACATGAATTTGCACATACTGAGATGTCTGAACAAGCAAAGATTTGGCATGGTACAACGTTATGATGGGTTCTTGCATTTATTAATGTTGCATAGATACAGTCGCCAACTATTCTGGGGGCGTGGTTTACCGTGGGTGGGAAAACAAATACTGGTTACCATAGTAACACAATCATTCTTAAGAGTTTTTTTTTTCTTTACATACTTCAAATACCTCTACTTCAAAAATAAATAAATACATAAAAATACATAAATAAATAAATCAAAATAAAAAAATAGATAAAATAGATAATAGAATAGAAAAAAGAAAAAGAAAAGTATAAAACGAGCAGGTTTTTCAATTTAAAGTATTAACAAGCTATAATATAATATAACAAGCTAAAATTATTACATATTACAATAATAATTAACATGAATAAAGTAATAAAGTATTATTTTATTAATTTCACTTCAAGGATTATTTACATCCTTTTATATTTAATAATTATCTTTTGTTTTTGTTTTTTTATACTAAAAGCAAGATATATATATATATATATATAAGGAATATAAAATATAAAACAGCAAAAAAGCATAAAAAACAAACTTTTTTAAATGAACAAAAATGGATATAACAAGCTAAAATTATTAAAATATTAAAGTAATAATTTATTAAAATAAATAAACAAAATGAAGTATTCTTTAAATTATTAATGATTATATTATTAAAATAAATTAATAATAATAAAATAATAAAAAATAAGATGTGTTGCAATACACTACAGTTCAAAGGTTTGGGGTCAATACGATTTTTTTGATGTTTTTGAAACGGGTCTTAATGAAGTTACATTTATTTGTTCAAAAATTATTAAAACTAATACTGTTAAATATTTTCAATACAATGCAACAAACCACACTAAAACATTTTGGAATGCTTTTCTTTCAAGAAATAACCCAATCTATTGCATTTCTCCCTTAGGAATGAAAGGATAACTATGATAGCCGGGATTTGTTTTAGCATTGTCCTCCTTGTGCATTCTGTCAGATGTGTGTGTTTATATGTGTTGACAGTGTCTGGGAGATTGTTGGCCAGCAGGGAGGAGGTTTATCGGTGCTGAGGACCTTCAGACTCATGCGTGTGTTGAAGCTGGTCCGCTTTATGCCCGCCCTGCAGAGGCAGCTGGTGGTCCTGATGAAGACCATGGACAATGTTGCCACCTTCTGCATGCTGCTTATGCTTTTCATATTCATTTTCAGGCAAGATGATAGATGGCTTTGTGCAATTTAAAAGGACTGTACATTCAGTCTATTTATTTTACATTTGAACTATTTGTTTGTAATTTTGTTTTACAGTATTCTAGGCATGCACCTGTTTGGATGCAAATTTGGTTCTGAGAGAGATGGAGACACACTTCCTGACCGCAAGAACTTTGACTCTTTGCTTTGGGCCATTGTAACAGTTTTTCAGGCAAGATTCCTGCATGCTACACAAGCTGCACTTTCAATCAGGCATCTTAACAGCTATATTGAGTGATCCGATCATAAGTGGACAGCACGTAATACAGATGTAAACATGTTTTGTGCTCCCAATTAATAACACATGCTCATATTACGCAAGTTTCACGCATATGTACACTACCACTCAAAAGTTTGGGGTCATCGAGATTTATTATTATTATAATTTTTTTTAGAAATTAATATATTCATTTTGCAAGAATGCAAAAAATAATAATAAAAAAAAAGATTTATAGATATTCATTTATGGGTAACTCTTTACAATAATGTTCTATTTGTTAACATAAGTTAACTAGATTATTTAACATGAACTAACACACTTCTATTAATCATCTGATGGAGACACACTTCCTGACCGCAAGAACTTTGACTCTTTGCTTTGGGCCATTGTAACAGTTTTTCAGGCAAGATTCCTGCATGCTACACAAGCTGCACTTTCAATCAGGCATCTTAACAGCTATATTGAGTGATCCGATCATAAGTGGACAGCACGTAATACAGATGTAAACATGTTTTGTGCTCCCAATTAATAACACATGCTCATATTACGCAAGTTTCACGCATATGTACACTACCACTCAAAAGTTTGGGGTCATCGAGATTTATTATTATTATAATTTTTTTTAGAAATTAATATATTCATTTTGCAAGAATGCAATAAATAATAATAATAAAAAGATTTATAGATATTCATTTATGGGTAACTCTTTACAATAATGTTCTATTTGTTAACATAAGTTAACTAGATTATTTAACATGAACTAACACACTTCTATTAATCATCTATAATGTTAATTTCAGCCATTTCTAATACAATATTAAAATGAAAAGGTGTATGTTAATTTTATTTAATGGACCTGAGCTAACATGAACTAACACACTTCTATTAATCATCTGTAATGTTAATTTCAGCCATTTCTAATACAATATTAAAATGAAAAGGTGTATGTTAATTTTATTTAATGGACCTGAGCTAACATGAACTAACAATAAACAGTTGTAATTCTATTAATAACTAATGTTAACAAAGATTAATAAATACTGTAATAAATGTATGGCTCATTGTTAATGAATTAAATAATGCTAACTAATGGGACCTTATTGTAAAGTGTTACCCATTTATAATGTTACAAATGATTTCTATTTTAAATACATTCTGTTTCCTTGATGAACTTTCTATTCATCAAAGAATCCCAAGTAAAAAGTATAATTTTTTTTTTTTTACAAAAGTATTGGAATATTAGAATGATATAAGCATATTATCAGCATATGATTTCTGAAGCGTCATGTGACAATATGACAGTGGAGGAATGTCTGCGGAAATTTCAGTTTTGCCAGCGCAAGAATAAAATTAGAAAATGTAACGTATAAACAATTATTTTGTGGGGATATTTCATAATATTACTGTTTTACTGTAGTTTTGATCAAACTAATGCATCACTGATGAGCATAGGAGACTTCCGACCCCCAAATTTTGAACATAAGTATAAATGGCAGTTTGATTGTGTTTGTTGCTTGTACATCAGATCTTAACTCAGGAGGACTGGAATAAGGTACTGTATAATGGGATGGCCTCCACCTCTCCTGTGGCTGCTCTGTACTTCATCGCCCTCATGACTTTTGGAAACTATGTCTTGTTCAACCTGTTGGTGGCTATCTTGGTGGAAGGATTCCAAACTGAGGTAAAGCCAGATTCCAACCTAGCCTCTACATTTTTTCATCCTCTTTTTTTTTTTCTTCACTTCACAGTCTGTCTTCTCTTTTTTGTCCTTTAGAATCTAGCACATATTCCAACACCGTATCTTTCTTCTCTATTTCACCACTAGCTCTCTCCTGTCTCCTTTCGTCTAACACTATGTCCTAAACAGGCACGATGTGACAAGATTCAAGTGAAAAGCGATTTTTCTGTCCAGGCTGAAAGCAAAAATGATGCTCGATGCAACAAAATCACAGCCAATCTGTTTGCGTGCTTTCTCACACTCCACAGCTGAAGAGCGTGAATCTAAGAACCTTGTATTTTCATGACTTTTCATAACGCTTCACTTAACGGAGTCCTTTTCATGGTTTTCATTAAGGTGCTTGAAGGATTTTTCAAATCATTTGTCATATAAAACTTCCTTACCAATTTCTTGTCATCCGTTTTTTGATGTTCAGTATATGTGAGGAGCGAGTTTGATCCACTGAAATTCATATGGGCAGGGGTGTGTGTGTGTGTGTGGAGCAACACAACATAGAAGAGAGACACTTGCTGATTTTCTGAGTAGAGTTACTAGCATACTACTCTTGTGGCAGAAATAGTAAGAGTAGTATGCTATTCTGAATTTAGTGACTATTCTGTGGTGTTTTGTAGTATAAATTGTGTAAATTGTGTGTGTAGTTCACACCAAAAACAAAAACTACTGTACGATAACTATAATTTATTATAAGCACATGCTGCAGTTATGTTGTCTGCCCCTATAAATGCTCAAGCTCTTTAAAGATGGATTCTGATGAGCTGTTAACATTTTACCATTCATTAGCTGGAAAAAAATCTGAAAGTGATTCCAACGGTAACGTTTTTCTGTGTCTTTATTGTTATAGTTGTGGTGTGGACACAATAAAGTGTATAGTATGTAATTTGGGACAGTTTTATTGTTTATTTGATCATAATTTGCTAATAAATCTAAATGGAAGATGCTATTTTTGGCAGATGGTTTCGTTGGTTTGTATGTTTCGAAATGTCATCTTGAGATTTCTGTCTTTCTTATTCATGTACAGTAGATAACAGTTGTACTTCAAAAGCAGCTGTCTGGGAGCATTTCCGAGTGAACTGAATTGGAACTTAGTGCCACAGAAGTACAGAAGCAACTGAAAAAAAGTAGTGTCATTGTCAAAGCTGGTTAGGACAGACACGTGGAAAGCTTCTTGCTTTGTCGCATTGTGCCTGGTTAGGACACTATGCTATTCAACTGGAAGTGATGAGTTTCTTGTTCTGTGTATAATAGTGCCTACTCCATGCTCGAGCACTCCTCCTCATCCTCCTTCCTTCATTCTTTTTCTTTATCGCCTTCTTTTTCCATGATCTTATGAGACAACTTATCTCCCAATGCATAGCAGCCATTCTTCTCTGACAGAAAGACAGACACGCACACAGAAATGGCCAGGCTCAAGATAAATCAGAGATATAAATGTTATACCTATGTATCATTTTGGGTGGAGGGGTTGTTTTATTACTGTCTCTTTGGAAAGAGGTGAACCGAATCATGCAAGTTGACGTGTCCATACAGTGCAAAAAGAAAAAGGAAAAAACTATTTGATCACCTTTATTTTTACCGTATGATCAATTTTTTAAATAACATTTTCACATGCAGTTTGTTGAAGTCCTGTTGTTTGGCGTTCTAGTAGATGTAATACAGTTTAACTCATGATAAATGTTACTGTAAATCTAAGACCTGACATCTCATTTATTTTGAACTCTGCTCACATGGTGGAGTCAAAAGATTCATAAAACTTTTAATGAAAAAATATCTCTAGATTTTGATCAATTGTTCAGTTGAGCAAAATCATTGTTAGAATAGCGAACAGATGAATCAAAAATTATTAAGTGCTGTTTCTGTAACACCTCATTAGAGCAACAACAAGAGAAACAAAACACGTAATTGAAAATTGGTTTGTCATTCATAATAATTTGCATAATAGGAGTGAAAGATAAAGTTCTGGATTTTTAGTTGACTTGAGAGAAGGTATTATCTGTACGGAACTCAGTTCTTCGCCTTTTTCCCCTCATTCTGCATCATGGCAGGAAATTATGTAGCTCAGAAGTCTTCAAAATAAACTCTCTAGTCTTAAATAAGAGAGGATAGCCCACACTCATCTGACCCCTATCTGCCGTTACCTTTGCTAAGTGCATCAGATATTATAATCTCATCGCAACTGATCTGATGCCAACAGAAATGCCAAGGTACTGTGTTCTCCTGCTCTCCCCTAAAACTGACGAACACTACGGGCTTAATATTTTAACCTTACATAATTTTCTGCAAACATCATGTTTATTTTTAGTTGGTCGAACTTTGCAGTGCATCAGGGTTGCTGGGGAAACGGGTGGCTGAATGACACATGTGAAGCAGAGAGATCAAGGGCCAGGATGAATGTCCCTTCAACAGCGTAATGTCCCCGTCCACTGCAGCTTTATGTAATCACACTGCTGTAAACAGGTGGTCACTGTTGGACTAGCATGTCAGTCTGTATGTCAGCATGTTCAATGGTCAACTTGTTGGTTAAAAGTATTTTAACTTGTTGTATTTGTGTCCATCTTTGCACAGACACCTTCACAAGGCATTTACTTGATCAAAAATACAGTAAAAACAGTAATATTATGAAATATTATTATATTTTAAAATAACAGTTTTCTATTTTAATATATTTTAAACTGTAATTTATTCCTGTGATAACAAAGCTGAATTAAGTGTCACACGATCCTTCAGAAATAATTTTAATCAGAAATAATTTTAATATGCTGATTTGGTGCTCTAGAAACATTTCTTATTATCTCGAAATCAGTTGTGCTGTTTAACAGTTTGATACTTTTTAAAGGATTCTTTAGAAAATAATAGATTTTTATAACAATGCTTTTACAGTCACTTTTGATAAATTTAATGCATCATTGCTGAATAAAAGTATTTTAAAAAATCTTATTTTAAAAAAATCTTATACAATTATATTTTATTATATTATTATGTAATATGTTATAGCATAATTGCATAATTTAAGTCTCATATATAAACTACACGCTCCTCTGAAATCCTCTGAAAAGACAAAGCAGGCACAAAGATGGACAAATTTAATTAAAATGTCGAACATTGACAAGTTGTAGCATGACATGCCCAGCACTCTCATTAGACTGACTGGATGCAGAGGAAGGATGCCCAGATTTGTTATAGTTCTTGTTACAGAGGCAATAACAATAAAATATCTAAATGTGTTGTTATTCTTGTGGAACATCATTTTCCAAGAATTTCTGAACTTAAAAAATTGGCTGTGCACCGAAGAGAGTCATAATTTGAACCGAAGCAGAGTCTGATCTTGTTTGTAATTTAAATAGTTTGTAGAATTAAAATAAAAACATAAATTTTATATGCATTGAATATTTCAGTCAATTGCAGTCGTTCTCTGGATGTAATTTACTCTGACAGATTCACAATGTGAAAAATTCAATATGTGTTATCTCAAAGGAGCTGGAGGGAAAAAACAGAAGAGTTCATCCATTTCAGAGAATAAAAGAGCCAAGCATTTATACCTGCAGTAGGAGCATTTTAACTACAGGCAACAATTACACAAACTCACTGTACCGAGAATGCTAACAGCCTAAACTCCACCCAAAATGTAAAATTGCTTTTACTTCAACAGAAGTATTTGCTGAAATGTGGGAGTCAGATTTCTCATAATGTGTCTTTGTCAATTTTCTAACACTTCCTGTGCTTTTTTCCCTTCTGTCTTACCTTTTCGCTCTGTGTGGTAAAATCCTAACACATGTCCACTTTAGGAAATACCCAAGAAGGAAGATTTGCATGGTCAGCTGAGCTGTATTCAGCTGCCTATAGACTCAGGGGTATGTAGCACTCCGCATGATGTTAACCCAGTGAGACTAACCAGGAGGACCACTGCGTTTGTGGACAATGTCACTTGTGATTGTTTCTTGTAGAAGCAGACTTGACTTAAAGTCTTTCTTCAGGTTCACTTGCTCAATGCCTGGCGGCAGAGTACAAACCTTGTAGAGCCTCATGCTTTATTTTATCTGGCTGAAAGGATGTGTTTGGGCTTATGGCAAGCCTCAGTGAAATCAGACAAAGCCAGACAGACTGCTGTGCAAAAGCAAATAAGGCAACTGGAAAGTCCTTTTGAATAGATCTCAAAATCGTTTAATATGTGGATACGTCTCTTAATACCTCTTTACTTTAATTATTTTGATCTTGTAGATTTGCTCTGTATGGTATCATAATTTTTATTTAACTAGACTTAAAGTTTTATTCAAATAGCCCTCCGCTGAGTTCAGTAGCTCAGCAATCGAGAAAGTCTATTCAGTGAGCCAGAGCTGAGTGGAAGCACTTGACCCTGTTGAGGAGACTCGGTCTGTTTGTGGTTATGGACATCACATCCCGTATTTGTTTTCATTCATGCAGCTGTGCTAGGTGACACATGCAGTGGAAGGCCATAAAATGGAGAGCATCAATGAGGGTTTGAACTGGTCTCTTACACCTTCCAGTCCTTCACCTTGACAATCAAATTACATAAACCTCTATGCTAGTCCTTACTCAAGAGCTATTAGCACATCTTATGTCAAAACATGCCTTAAATCACTCTATCAGCAAGGTTTGTCAAGCCCAGTAGAATTCCCAAATTAAGACCTGTGATTGTTAAGCAGCAGTTGCACAGCAACCTTAACATCTTAATTGACAGTACAGCCCCAGTAGAATTTCTTTCACACCTTGTTTCTGACCAAAGCAGTTCTGGGAAACAAAAATGAAAGGAGTCATTCTAAAATTTCAGACTGAAATTACTCAGTTATTCATTGAAAACCTTGACCTTAAAGGGATAGTTCACCCAAGAATGACAATTCTGTCATTAATTACCCGTAAGACATTTGTTCATCTTCAGACTCTGCATAGACCGAAAGGGAACAACACGTTCAAGGCCCATCAATGTAGTAAGACATTGTTAAAATAGTCCATGTGACAACAGTGGTTCAACTGTAATTTTATGGAGCTACGAGAATACTTTTTGTGCGCAAAGAAAACCAAAATAACGATTTTATTCACACACACATGCGTCGTGGTACTCCTGTGAATGGCGGCGGACGCTGACACATTAGAGAAGAATTGTTAAATAAAGTAATGAAGTAAATTGTTGAATAAATGTTTTATTTTTTTGAGGCAAATCTTTTCAATGAATCAGTTGATTCAATTCACAGAATTGGTCTCAATGATTTTGTTCACAAATCTGATTTGTAAACAAATCATTCTGCATGATTTGTTGCTTCACTCTACAAAACGGAATGATTTTTTCATAAACTGGACTGATCCAGGTCTTGAGATCTGGTTGCAGCTAACATCTCACTATATACATAATATATTTTATTTAATAAAGTCATTTGTATAATCATTTCATTCACAATTTTTTAAAAACATGAGGGTGAACAAATTAAGCTGAACTGTTGCTTTTAATGGTTGTAATTGGTGTTACATAGAATAGCTCTTTGCTAGTGCATAGGTCAAAAAGTCAGGGAGCTTGTTACGCAAGTACTATAGTTTTGTTATGTTTTTGCTACATCTCTTTGCTCAGAAAGGCCATGTGGGAGTGAGGATAGTCATGTCCAATCCAGACACATCATCCACAGTGTTCATTTCTGAGCATGCAGTGAGTAACAGTGGGTGCTGATGCTAAGCTAACCTCTAACTGCACCTGGTGCCCTGTAGATTGTGGTGGCCTGTGTCTGAGGATGCTTTGTAGTAGTGCCTATCTGCTAGTTCAACCTATCACAGCTGTTTTGTTTTACTGTTCACTGTTGGTGAGAAGGGGCAAGGAGTCCCTCTCGTGTCTTGACTTACAGAGCTCGACTCCAGTGTCATAACTATTTTCAAGTTTTGTTTTTGTTGCCTTAGTAACGTAGATATTGTGTTATTCCCTATTGACAAGTCATATTCACTGTTTTTGTTGTAGTTATGATGTGAATTAATTGCTGTTCTATTGTGCTGTGTTTAGTGTTGCAATGATCCCACTGGTTTTATTGCAACTCAAATTTGCTTTGTTTACTTACCCATTTACACAGCCATTACTAATGCATTGATTTTTTTTTCTGAAACACAAAGTTTTGATTTAGCTTAATGTTAATAAGTGAAGCCAATGGGATACATTGTTCGTAGGTGCAAGGTTTGTCAGAATAGTCTCCACTGTGTTCTCTTTGATCATTAGTGCTGTAGAGTACTATGGTAAATGTGTGCTGAAATGAATATGACATCCTGTAACCACATGATAAGGAAAAGATTCATCCTTTATCATCTTGCTCATATTAGATATAAATTACAGTCAGTCCACAAATAGACACCCTAATGGTCAAACTGAGAGAGCGATCCATGCTCTCAGACAGTGATGTCTGTTTTGACAAACCGCCCAGGGTTGAAGTTCTGTGCTAGACCACACTGAAACACTCGGCATGAAGCCATTTAAGACGCAAGACTGGGGATGTGAAGGATACAGGCCAAACAATGTGATGAGCCCTCTGATAAAAATAGCAGTGTTTATTTCTCCTGCTTGATCATTGGACGTGCCTGCTCTACTGATGCTGCTCCTCCAGTGAGCTGAGAAAAAAACCCACATATTCAGCTGCATGTGGATGTGACTTAAACTATTATAGCAAATGGTCTGACCATGAGAAAATCAGCTTAAAAATACACTCAAAAATACATTTAACTAATATTTAGTACACAGTACTGGTGGTTTCAGAGTGGTCATTCAACGTGGTGCTGTCAAATGCATGCCAGCACTGTGTTTTTGTGGATTCCCCCAACCAGGATGTATCTCCCTTAGATACCAGTCACCCTCTGGCCTTTTTGAAGGCCGGCTCACCCACCTGCCTGTTCCTCACCCTTTAATATGCTTCTTTAACCCCCAACAACATCTAAACCTGGTAACTAATATTTTATATCTTCCACATTTGATAAAGGGTGATGCCTCAAAGTCGGATTCTGAAGCAGACTTCTATACACGGAGCTTGGAGGATGTTTCAGGATGTAAGAAGGATCTGTCTGCATTATCTGGTGAGACCCACAGAGCATAGTTTGCATAGAAGCACATGGCATATTCAGGACATTTTTTTTTTCTGCAGGCCAGTAGATTTTTATTTGCCCTGCCAACAAATTCACTGGCCCCACCACAAAATATTTATTTATTTATTTGCGAGAAAAACATATTTATTTGCTAGAAATATTGAGGCAGTTTGAATAGATATCATCCAAACTTGGGAGGGGGGAACCGACAATCCTTTCAGCCATCTTCGCAACCCACTGCAAATCTTTTTTATCCGAAGCAGTGCAGCTGGAATACCACACTGTACAACAGTATGTTAGAATACTTTCTATTGTGCAGCAGTAGAAGCTGATCAGCAGTCTCTGACGAAGTTTGTTACGTCTCAGAGTTCTCGGGAAGAACAACCTTTGCTGGACTTTCTTAATGATACAGGTGGTGTTCAAACTCCAGGTCAGGTCCTCAGTGATATATACTCCTAGAAACTTAAAACCTGAAACTCTTTCTACCTTCTCTTCATTAATATACAAACTATTGTGGGATGGGGTTCGCAGTCTGCCTGAATAAAGAGTAACAAAGAATGGGTTTCCGGGGTGTGAGGGATCCTGCTGGATATTTGTGGCCCATGTAAGGAGGCAGTTTGAATAGATATCATCCAAACTTGGGAGGGGGGAACCGACAATCCTTTCAGCCATCTTCGCAACCCGCTGCAAATCTTTTTTATCCGAAGCAGTGCAGCTGGAATACCACACTGTACAACAGTATGTTAGAATACTTTCTATTGTGCAGCAGTAGAAGCTGATCAGCAGTCACTGACGAAGTTTGTTACGTCTCAGAGTCCTCGGGAAGAACAACCTTTGCTGGACTTTCTTAATGATACAGGTGGTGTTCAAACTCCAGGTCAGGTCCTCAGTGATATATACTCCTAGAAACTTAAAACCTGAAACTCTTTCTACCTTCTCTTCATTAATATACAAACTATTGTGGGATGACAGCAGGCGCTCCAGCTGGAATAGCCTGGGCCGAGCCCCCAGCCTCAAGAGGCAGAAACACCAGTCTGGCGAACGGCGCTCCTTGCTGTCCGGCGATGGCCATTCCAGCTCCGATGAGGGAGATGCGGGAGAGAGCGCAGGCGGCGGGGACATGTCCGAGGGTGATGATGCCTCCCTCGCCAGGACAGACTCCCTGGGCCAGATGCCTCGGCACAGGCGCATGGAATCCCTGGAGACACGCAGCTCGTTTGATCTGCCTCCAGACACCCTGCAGGTGCCATACATGCATCGTTCCGCCAGCATACACAGCGCCCGGCCGCCCAACTTCCTCAGCAACGGCAAGAGTTCTCCATCTGCAGCCACCACTCAGCTTTCTCTAGATGAACACCACAGCGAGGATGACAATGCAGATGATGAAGGAAACCTGGTGAGAAAATCTACACTTGATTTATTACAGCTATTTTCAGTTCCTTACAATAGATTTATCACAAATATCCACAGCTTTTTTTCTATTCAATTCACTGTTATAAGATCACAGGAAACAGTACTACTTTATCTTCTACTGCCAGCAAAACTAACTTACTGGTCCTGTAATCTCATGTGGTCATCCATCTTTCAGAGTCGGAAGGCTCGTCTCTACCGATGGCTGGAGCACAAGCAGCCCCAGTGGTGTCGGGAGAGGGTCACCTGGTCTCTTTACCTGTTCCCCCCTCAATCACGGTAAGTGTCTGTGGCTTTCTTGGCTCTCACAGTCTTTCCTTCTGAGAAGACCATCTTAGACATTGTCAGTAAAGAAATGCAGTCCTGAGGATCACTTTTATATTGAGGAGGCCATAAATGGTTTATATTGTGTGTTATGGTTGGATTTGTTGTCTTATCTTAGTAGATCAGCAGTTTCTGTAATATTTACACCAGCCTGTCTGGTACCAACAATCATCCCACATTCAAAGTCACTTAAATCATCTTTCTTCCCCATTCTGATGTTCGTTTTGAAATACAGCTGATTGTCTTGATCATGTCTTCATTCCTAAATGCCCTGAGTTGCTTCCATGTGATTGGCTGATTTGATATTTGGGGCAGTTCAACGGGTGTACAAATAAAGTGGCTATCTAATTGGAAGTCTATAGCTGTGTTCAAAATCACCCCCTATACGCTCATTCACTCTCATACAGTCCAGTTGAAGGAGTGAATGAAAACGAGTGCATGAATTCGGACTCTGAGCTGCCGCTTTTACATAGTTGTACTTGTATCTATTTAATAATAATAATTTAAAACTTAGCAAACTGGCAGCTCCAGCAATGAAGAAAAGATTTTTCTTGAACTCTGTCATGGCATCTAGAATTTATAAAACTTAAACTATTTAATAATCAATTAGAAACAAATTTATATTGGTATAATGCGCTGTACCCACATCGAACCAATGGTTTTTAAAAATGGATGGATGATTCAGCTGCAGGCGCCATCTTCTGGCAAGACATGTGAATTCTTTCCGCACGGCCCTCATATTGAATTATGTGTATTCTCTAGCTGTTGAGTGTACATTGGTTGTACACTCATTATTGTGGTTCATTATTGGATTGAATGAGTGCACTTGATAACATCCACTATAGTTTCGGACACCACTACAAATGGCTTTCCCTTCAAACTGCGCCCTATTTAACGGTATAGGGGACACAGCCAATGAGATGTCCTCACTTAGAGTATACAGTGAAACAAACATCTTCCTGGTTAAAATACTTACAGTAAGAAGTTTGCTGGAGACACAAGCTCTCCAGCATCCAAATCACAACATATTCTGGTCATTTCAGCAGGTGAGTCACATTTATCATAGTACCGTGGCTCATGTTCAGTTCAGTTTAGGTTGCCCTAAGCCCTAGAAAATTCCTCCATTAAGATGCTTAAGGGGTGAGAAATCTCCTGTACTTTTTAGCCTCTCCCTTAGGCATCTTCCTGGTCTTCCCCTTTCTCTCATCTCTTTCCAGTGCTTTCCATTTTTGAAACGCATGTCTGCTCACATTAAGCTCCATGGAGGCTTCACTTATTAGAGGGAGAGGAGAGGAAAGACGAACTCAGCATTGCATGTTACACTCTGTCAGCGCTTTACTAATTAAACATCAAACAACCTCAGATCATCCTCCTCCTCCTTCCTGTGCGAGCCCTAGATGATGCAAGCGCTCACCACTTTGCACTGTTATGACACGCAGACTGGCATACATTGGTGTCACCAAAACCAAAGCTAAAAAGCTTGTGAATTTTAATATGTCCATCTGTGTGTGTTCACTATCAGAAGATCTACCATGTTACATCCACATTCAAATCCACATGGTTAATTATGCAGGACTGAGCATTAAGTGTTTGGATTGGTCTGTAAATATAATTTTTGTTTTCATGTATTTCAGCTAATATACTGTACATACTATATGTACAGTACAGTATGTATATACAGGTGCATCTCAATAAATTAGAATGTCGTGGAAAAGTTCATTTATTTCAGTAATTCAACTCAAATTGTGAAACTCGTGTATTAAATAAATTCAATGAAGCAAAAGGAGCCCCTACCAAGTATTGAGTACATGTACAGTAAATGAACATACTTTCCAGAAGGCCAACAATTCACTAAAAATGTTTTTTTATGGGTCTTATGAAGTATTCTAACTTGTTGAGATAGTGAATTGGTGGGTTTTTGTTAAATGTGAGCCAAAATCATCACAATTAAAAGAACCAAAGACTTAAACTACTTCAGTCTGTGTGCATTGAATGTGCATTGAATTTATTTAATACACGAGTTTCATAATTTGATTTGAATTACTGAAATAAATGAACTTTCCCACAACATTCTAATTTATTGAGATGCACCTGTACTACTGTTCAAAAGGTTGAGGTTGGTAAAATATTATTAAAATATTGTTTAAAATATTATTAAAACTGTTTTCAGCATTCATAATAAGAAATGTTTATTGAGCACAAAATCAGCATATTAATATATATATATATATATATAAAGCTTTAAAATATATTAAAATAGGAAATGGTTCTTTTAAACTCTAACGATATTTCACAATATTACTATTTCTACTGTATTTTAGTAAAAGAAAAAATGTCTTCATACTTCACATGAACATTCTCAACATTGTTTTAAGGCAATCAATGCAGGCCTATATGGAAATAAAACTGGAGAGAACTTGCACATTTTTTCTTGCACATTTGCATTCTTATACATTACACAGTAATAATAATGAATAATTTAATCTTTTTCAAGAATTTATAATTACAACATTTCAAGAAACCAGTCATTCTATGACAACAACTATAATAAAGAGCATTTGTATTAAAAAAAATAACGAAAGAAAAAAATATAAGATAAGAAAAATGAATTCCCAGTTCCTCAGCCAAGTCCAAATTAAAAAAATTCTGTTTTCCATCTACAGGAGCCAATAATGTTTTTGTCAAAATAAGATCATCATATTATTTAGAAACAAACTTTAGTTTCGTCCAGTGCTTGAAGTGGAAATACAAAAGTGCCGGTACTCCCGATACGTGAGGGAAATCGCGTTCTGGGGCTGGGGGGGATCCCCATCGGTGGAAATTGGGAGGGCACAGGGCAGCATGTGAGAAGTGCCGGCCTGGAACATCAGAAAAATTCACGGTACGGGTTAAAGTATAAAAGTGCTGCTACGGAGTACAGGTGCGTACCAGCCCACTTCGAGCACTGGTTTCGTCATTTTTTCATAGCCCACCTCAACTGCATGCCAACACTTCTGCGTGAAAGACTGCGAGTTGCAGTTAAACACACAGACATGGATTTCTGCGCTCATGCATCAGTTTGTTTCCGGTTAAACTGCGTTGCTTTTACAAGCGTTGATTCGGTTGTTGCATAAAGATTAATTTCTTTATTCCGGGATTGTCAATCTAAATTAATACAGTGACAAATAAAGTAAATTATAACTCAAACTTGAGATTTTACTGGGGCACAGCAGATTTTTACTGGGGCACATGCACCAGTAAATGGGGTCTAATGGGGTCAGTAAATGTTTCAGACCATTACCGCCCGCTAGCGATTTTTGTGTCCAGTCCCGCCCCCTCCCGCAAACATATATGGCATATAATTTTCGCGCATCAGGGAGCTACTATCAATCGGCCTGTTTGATTGTAAAAAATCGGTATTGGAATCGGCCATGAAAAATCATGATCGGTGCATCGCTAACTCCAAACTTTTGACTGATAGTGTATTTTAAAATGTAATTTATTCCTCTCGTGGCAATTCTTTTTTTGTATTCATATCTTCTCAGAAATAAGCATTGCATGAGCAATGAATATTTGCTTTAAATATATAATTATATCTAAAGACCATTCTAATTCATTTTAGATCATTAGATATGACATTATGGTACTTTTGGAAGCCTGTGAAACCTTGTGTAAAGTTGACTTAACGGTAACAGCTGTGAAGTCATCAACTAACTGGGTAGTGTATGGCAGTGTATGGCATTTGTATTAAAAAAAATAACGAAAGAAAAAAATATAAGATAAGAAAAATGAATTCCCAGTTCCTCAGCCAAGTCCAAATTAAAAAAATTCTGTTTTCCATCTACAGGAGCCAATAATGTTTTTGTCAAAATAAGATCATCATATTATTTAGAAACAAACTTTAGTTTCGTCCAGTGCTTGAAGTGGAAATACAAAAGTGCCGGTACTCCCGATACGTGAGGGAAATCGCGTTCTGGGGCTGGGGGGGATCCCCATCGGTGGAAATTGGGAGGGCACAGGGCAGCATGTGAGAAGTGCCGGCCTGGAACATCAGAAAAATTCACGGTACGGGTTAAAGTATAAAAGTGCTGCTACGGAGTACAGGTGCGTACCAGCCCACTTCGAGCACTGGTTTCGTCATTTTTTCATAGCCCACCTCAACTGCATGCCAACACTTCTGCGTGAAAGACTGCGAGTTGCAGTTAAACACACAGACATGGATTTCTGCGCTCATGCATCAGTTTGTTTCCGGTTAAACTGCGTTGCTTTTACAAGCGTTGATTCGGTTGTTGCATAAAGATTAATTTCTTTATTCCGGGATTGTCAATCTAAATTAATACAGTGACAAATAAAGTAAATTATAACTCAAACTTGAGATTTTACTGGGGCACAGCAGATTTTTACTGGGGCACATGCACCAGTAAATGGGGTCTAATGGGGTCAGTAAATGTTTCAGACCATTACCGCCCGCTAACGATTTTTGTGTCCAGTCCCGCCCCCTCCCGCAAACATATATGGCATATAATTTTCGCGCATCAGGGAGCTACTATCAATCGGCCTGTTTGATTGTAAAAAATCGGTATTGGAATCGGCCATGAAAAATCATGATCGGTGCATCGCTAACTCCAAACTTTTGACTGATAGTGTATTTTAAAATGTAATTTATTCCTCTCGTGGCAATTCTTTTTTTGTATTCATATCTTCTCAGAAATAAGCATTGCATGAGCAATGAATATTTGCTTTAAATATATAATTATATCTAAAGACCATTCTAATTCATTTTAGATCATTAGATATGACATTATGGTACTTTTGGAAGCCTGTGAAACCTTGTGTAAAGTTGACTTAACGGTAACAGCTGTGAAGTCATCAACTAACTGGGTAGTGTATGGCAGTGTATGGCAGTGTAGTGTAGTGTAGTGTAGTGTAGTGTAGTGGTAGTGTAGCAGTAGGGCAGCAGCCTTAAGTACCGGACACAACATTAGACTTCTCTCCCCATTTCACCCCGGCATGACCACACTCTCAGCATGAGTGATCGGGGCTGAGAGAGGCAGGTTGGCATGACAACGGCGCAGAGTTTGCCGTCTGTTCCCACACAGTGCCGTTCTGGGCATAAATTCTTTAACATCAGGCCAAGTCTCAGAGACATTAAAGAGAACTGAGCACTATTTATTCATAAAAGGAGTCATGCCGCCGCACTGTATGTCTTATGGCCGACACATGTTCATGCATAAGCTTGTCACTGTTTCAAGTTCAATTAAAGTGAAAGAGAGAAATTAAGGAGGTGTATTTGTTTAGTGATGAATGAACTCAAAGTAATGTCAGCCTTGATTGTTAACATCTCTTAATACATTAAATGATTGGACTGCCAAGGTTTTTTTTAATCTTTGATGAATTAAACCAAGAGAATAGACTTAAATTAATAGTTCACCCAAAAATGAAAATTAACTGAGAATTTACTGATTTGGAGAAATTTAGCATTACGTCACTTGCTCACCAATGGATCCTCTGCAGTGAATGGGTGCCGTCAGAATGAGAGTCCAAACAGCTGAGGAAAACATCACAATAATCCTGCAGTCCAACAATTAACATTAAGAGAAAAGCTGCATGCTTGTAAAAAGCAAATCCATCATGAAGGCATCATTAAGCAACGATTTGAAACATCTTGATGGATTTGTTTATTACAAACACAGTTTTTCGAAGAAAGTCAGTCATACGGAGTTCAAATGAAATAAGGGTGAATAAATGATTAAAGAATTGTCATGTTTGGGACACTGTCCAATTAAGAAAAACTCTGCTACTGTAGTCTCACTAAGCATCTAGTTGAACTTTGTGACCTATAACTTTCTTTTTAATTGATTTTATGATCAACATGATGTTGAATGTTTGCCCACCATGTCTGGTGTAATGGTGTCTTGCAGGTTTCGTGTAACCTGCAATAAAATCATCAATCACAAGATGTTTGACCATGTGGTTCTTATCATCATCTTTCTCAACTGCATCACTATCGCCATGGAGAGACCCAGAATCGACCCCTCCAGCGCTGTGAGTAATGTTACCTCATACACATACACACGCAAGCATATGTCATTCAAAACAACATTTGCTGTAGGAATAACAGCTCAGATAATTGAGACACAATTCTGAAAACAATCATGTGGCAATTAAAAAGAAAATAATAATAATAAAGTTACAAGGTTTGATTTTCTTGATAAGTTCCCATGCTCCATCTTGTCCTTTGATCTCAAGGGTATGTAGCTTTCTTTCTTTCTGACTTTCTTTTTTCTTTCTTATTTATGTTTTTATTTATTTTTTGAGGACAAGCGTTGCAGTACATCAGTGTGCCAATTCCTGATTCAGTTATCTAAGGCCAACCAGTGGTCGGTCTGTCTGTCTGTCTGTCTCTCTCACAGTCACTAGAGAAGGTTTTACAATTGTGTACTTGCTTGTGATGCCCTTAGTTAATCAGGACATCCTTGTTTCAGAGTGATAAGTCACATGTAATTTACAGTTCAGGTTATAGGCTCAAAACATTTTCCACAACCGATTGCCCATGAAGCAGAGATGGTCTGCATGTGCAAGCGGAACAAATTTGTGACAAATGGAAACTCTTACTGACACTCAGTGTCAGGGCTCTGAACTGCATATCTGTCATCTCCAGATTCTAAAACTGGACAATCATTATGTTAGTTAGTATGTTAATCTAGCGTTTCCGTGATTATTACCTTATCTAACTGTTTGTTATGTTAGCGACTGAGAATAAAAAGTAGCTTATTAGACGACTTGGGAGTTGGTTGGTTTTGCTGTTCTTTTAGGATGTTAAAACCGAAAAGATTCAATTTGTTATTCCTGCTTTCTTACAGACCCAAAGGACACAATCATCTTGGCTTAAATGCTTTGTTACATCTCATTATCAGTTTTGTATGTTTACTACTTTCAGCAGTTACATGCTCCCACAGGACACCTAATGTAAGACAGAAGAGAAAAAGGAAAGCAAGAAATGTTTGATCTTCTTTCCTTTCTTATGTAGATCATAATAGTTATAAGAATAATACTATTGAGTAAAAAATGCTACACTTCATATACTGTTTTTAAGTTGCTGTTTTCAGCAACCTTTTTTTTTTTTTTTTTTTTGGACTTGGCAGAACAGCACTGCAGCAAACCGTCTTGTATGGAGACAGCAGTCCATCATTTTTGCAGCTACCAGATTCCTGACATTTCAAGGAACATATTTTCATAAAATGTTGCCCACCAAGATTTTTCACTCACTCGTGTAACAAATGAGGATATTTTCAAGCTTTTTATTAATTTGCTGTTAACCCAAGTCAAGAGCTGCTTTGGACCTTCGAACCATAATGAATTAATGATCTAATATCAAATTTATGTCCAGAGTCACTCTAGCACTCATTCTTTAGCAATCAGTGTCAGATGTCATTATGTGATTTTTCACACTGAGCTGCTTTATACAAAATTGCACAGGAGTTCCTAGTATTGTGAACGGTCCTCTTACTGTAGTATTGTATTTTTATTTATTTTTTGCATCAGACTCATTTCATGTTGAGCGTATATAGTGATGCATACATTAGCATTATTTTCTTGTATCCAATGGCTGTGTGTCTGCCTCTGTAATGGACCCTAACTGTAACTGTAACTGTAAGACCCTAGAGCACTCCACATGGCAGAGATCTGCAGTGCAGATGGCCTCGTGTCCATCAGAGCTGGAGGACTCCAGTTAATATATTCCTGTAAATTTAAATCCAATTATATTGACTTGTTCACAAAATAGATTTATATTTAGTTTTTTTCACATTTATACACATTCTTGATTTGGAACAAAAAAGGGGGGAAAAGGAATGAATAAAAGCCTCCCCCCACCCAAACTGATGAAGGATTCTGTCAGTAATGGAAATAGAGGACCTTAAAGCTTACTCACGTATAATGGTTTTTTGAAACACATTATGTAGCACGGAAAGGTTGTTTCCCGTTTTGTTATTTTCCAAAGGTTTAATCCATTTAATCCAAAAGTTTTTACCATGTTTTTACCAAGTTTTTACCATGTGTGCCTATGAGCCTCTATGATATTTGTTTACTTCCCCCTTAAGACATCCTTTCAGCACTTCACAGAGGAGGAAAAACTCCACGTATTTTCCTTCCCTGCACAGGCATGGGAATTTTTTTCAGAGTGGGGCAGATGGCACACAGTGCTTTTGCCATTTAAGAAAATAAATTATGTATTTTCATTGGTGTAAATGCATAGTAAGATTATTATGATTAATGAAAGTAATGAGTAATTTTTTAATGAGTAAAATACAAAGTTTATTTAAATTTAAATTTGCATTTAAATATGAAAAAATCCCTGAAAATTAAGAAACAAAAAACGAATACCAATAGATGACTTTTCCGCATTGCATGTTTTGTCATTTGTGAACGTAAGTAAAATTTCTAAATGTTTTCTGGTAATGACCTGTGACATGTTTGCTAAGGAATGTGCACATTTCAATATGAATCCAGAGTATGATATGACATTTATGAGTAATTGCAGAATTTTTGGACCAGGTAAAGTCAGTTCGGTCCCACTGTCACTGCAGGATTGTGTAACTTTGTCTGTAATATAACCTTTGTGTTCAGCTTATGCAAACCATCTAATTTCCATGACAGACATGATCTATAGTAACAGGTACCTCACTGAGCTCAGATGTGTGTCATCAATACGGAGACATTTTTTCATTTGGGTATGAACAAATGCTATAAGACTCCCCACCTGAGTCTCCCTCTGAAGACAAGGCCTGAGCATGTCATCTCAGTACCCAAAGTAATGGGAAACGGGTGATGAAAATACCAAGGGGAGTTTTAGCAGCTTTTGATTACTCTCTCCCTCTCTTTCTATATCTGGTCTCGTACACATTGAACATTTGAGATTTGAGAATGACAAATGCATTTAAATTCAGAAATGGATCCCCCAAATTAATCATTGCTGATTGCTTTTGAATCACATTCATTTGCTAATGAATAATTTTGATAATTTTTTTAACCGATGGACAGACTCAGAAAGAGCTGTTTTACAGTTTTACACAGCAGCAATGTTCTATCTATCTATCTGTCTGTCTGTCTGTCTGTCTGTCTGTCTGTCTGTCTGTCATCTAATTTAATCTATGTATAGAGAAATTATATATATATATATATATAAGATATAAAAAAAATATATATGTATATATATA